ATGTATTCTACAAAATAAAGTGCTCAATGTTTATTAAAGAACAGAGCAATTACAAATTATATACAATTACAATTTATATGTATATATATATATGTTTACAAATTGTATATGTATATATATATTTACAAATTATATGTATATATACTTATATATATATATATATATATATATATATATATATATATATATATATATATATATATATATATATATATATATATATATATATATATATATGTATACATATATATATATATATATATATGTATACATATATATATCTATATATATATATATATATATATATATATATATATATATATATATATATATATATATATATATATATATATATATATATATATATATATATATATATATATATATAAGTATATATACATATAATTTGTAAATATATATATACATATACAATTTGTAAACATATATATATATACATATAAATTGTAATTGTATATAATTTGTAATTGCTCTGTTCTTTAATAAACATTGAGCACTTTATTTTGTAGAATACATTATTTTACATACATATATATATATATATATATATATATATATATATGAATACAGAGGTTTAGGGGACAGTTCCTGCACCAGTGTATTTATATTTATATATATACGTCTATATATATATATATATATATATATATATATATATATATATATATATATATATATATATATATATATATACGTCTATATATATATATATATATATATATATATATATAATATATATATATATATATATATATATATATATATATATATATATATATATATATATATATATATTTATATATACGTCTATATATATATATATATATATATATATATATATATATATATATATTATATATATATATATATATATATATATATATATATATATATATATATATATATATATATATATATATATATGTATATATATATATATATATACATATATATATATATATATATTTATAAGATATATATATACATATATTAAAATAACTATTGTGTGTCTAAAAATATTGCAGTATCATGAATCATAAATCCTAAGCTATTAAAACAACCATTTTGGAATTTTATTGTTACAGTTCCAATATCTTCTGTATCTATTTTTTCCAGAACAATAGACACCGGTTTGTATATACTGACAAGCTCAAGAGAAATTTCACAAATACATCCTTGCAACTTTGGAATTTTTTCAATTTTAAATGGTTGGTTATTTACATTTCTTGTTGCAGAAGTTGTGAATCTTACAATGTTATGAGTAGAAGGTCTATAAACATCATCTTCCAATGTTTGTACTTTGTAAAAAACTCCACGTGAACAGATAATATCCTTTTCTTCTACTTGGCCTTTAGGGATTACAGTCCAGTCTGCATTCCTTAAAAGAGATTTTTCTTTGGCACTTTTATGAGGCACGAACAAACTTTAGAGAAGTGACATCAACATCTATGATTTGGTCAAGATATATGTCCTTTACATAATCTGGTACACTGTCAGTTTCCGGATCAGGGCCACCACATGGTACAAAAACACGAATAAAGTCAGTATTAATAAACAACGGAAGAACTAGGTGGCCTTTATTTAAAAAAATATTTTTTTTAGCTTCTATTGTAAGTACATTTACCATTTGATTGGTAATATACCATGGTGCGATAATAGTTGTATCATTACCGTCATGACATCGTAACAAAGATTGTTTTCCAAATATAGCCGCAGCACGATCAATACTAAAAACTTCAAAAAGTGGTGTGGAGTTTTGTGAGTGTTGTACTTTTTTATTTTCTGCTGATGTGATGAGATTTCCATAAACCCCAGCAAAAACGAGCTTTGGAACATTCGTTATAAATATTTGTCTGTGGTGGGGATTTGTAGAACTAGATCTTAATATACTCGCATCTTTTAACTTACGCATAACATTTGTTTTCAAGCTTATACAAGCACCTTTATACATTGATTGCAATTGCTCATGCGATGGATAAATTTTGATATCAATATCTACCATTTTTTATTCTTTGTATTTTAAGTTAAAATTACGGAATGAAAAGTCTTATAAAAATAAGACTGAATGATATAATACAGACAACTCTAAAAATTTACTTAGTAAAGGCCGTTTTCCACAAGACGAAAAATTCGCGCGAAGCGAATTTTTTCGTCGTTAAGCATGCGCAGATTAAACATTTTTGGCGATTATACTAATTTTTTTTCGCTACAGCGTTTCGCTGCAGCGAAAAAAAAAGTCGGATTCATTTCGACTTTTTGCGAATCGCCATTAGCGAAAACCAATAAAATTTTGAATTTTATATCACGTGATGTCAACATTAAAAAAAAGCAAAGACATGTTTTTTAAGTAACAAAAAACAAAATTCTTAACCTGGCGTTCTTATTAATTTTATATGAACTTACTCTGAAAATTGGCTAGCATGAGTAAGTTTATCAAACAAGGGGCAAGACTTACATAAAAAAATGACCAGACTTATATATAAAACTAAATCGAAAATTTACAAATATAAATTTTCACACTGTCAATTACGAAAGTTACACTTCATAAGAATGTTTATTTTCAAATGGCCACACGAAGATAAACCTTTTTGTGAAAAATTCTTTATAGAGTTAAACCTACTGTTCGTTCTTGCAGTAATAGTTTTTAATAGAAATGTTCATATCAGAGTTTATCATTAAAAAAAAATCTTATATTAAACTATTATATTACAAAATAATATCACATCTTACATATAAAGGCAGAAATGTTAATATTAATGTACGGAAAGAAATTTTCACATGCTTCAAAGTAGAAAATATGCTAAAAAAGTATTAACTGCTTTCAGTTAAATAAGCAGCGTAAACTTATTGCTGCCATTTTTATTGTTGACAACGAAAAATAAGTAGCGCGAAAGAAAGTAAAACAGCGTTTCGTCGTAGCGAAAAAATTCGCTTCGCGCGAATTTTTCGTCTTGTGGAAAACGGCCTTAAGTCAAAAAAAAGATCGCCGTGTGCGAAAAATTTTTGTTTATGTTTTAAAGGAATGACGTAACTTTAAATGCGTTACTTCCCGATTCACTATGTAATTAAATTTATTATAACAGCGAGAAAAATTTTAGTGTATAAATAAAATATACTTTGGCGGTTTTTTTTCTCTCGTGGCTTATCTACAAACATCAGTTCACTTGTTCAATTGTTAACACAATACCATCAGTTCACTTGTTTTTATATAATCCTCTGATATCTAATGCATACTTGTTATTTGTCAATAATTATTGTTTGGTTTTATTTGTTTGCATTATATTTGTATTAAGAAATTTAGTTATCACTATGCATTCTAGCGAAAAGGAGATACTAATGCTATACATTGGATGCTTAAAAGCTTTAAATTTTTAGGCATTACGCTTTAGCTTTAAATTTTTTAACATTTAAGTAAGATTTTTTATTTTTAGTCCAACAATGTGACATTTACAAATTGACATAATAAATATCGAAAATATATTAATTTTAAGTTCTTTTGATAAAAAGCAACGTCAAATTACTAATATTTAGCCAAGTTCAACATTTGCCGCTTTTATTCTAAAATTAAAGAAGTTTTTTAAATATCTGTGAAACGTCATCAAATAAAACATTTTATTGGTGTATTTATTCTTTTTACAGAACAAAATCATCTCTAATGTTTCAGATAAAATTTAATTTATCTTTAATTCAGATAAAACTCAATTTTATTCAGCCAATCGTTATCGTAATAATTTAAATCTTCCTATATTTTTGAATGGTAATGTACTAGATGAGTCATCTACCATTTATCTTCTAGGATTAACTCTTACTTCTGATCTTTCTTTTAAACCGTATATCAAATCCATTGCAAAATTAGCATCTGCTAAGGTTGCATCTCTTTATCGAGCTCGACACTTTCATACTCCAGATTCTATTCTCTATCTCTATAAATCTCAAATCCGTCCCTGTATGGAATACTGTTGCCACATCTGGGGCGGATCTTCTAATGATGCTCTTTCTCTTTTAGACAAGGTGCAAAAACGAATTGTAAACATAGTTGGACCTGCTCTGGCAGCCAATCTCCAACCTTTATCACATCGTCGTAATGTTGCTTCTCTTTCTCTTTTCTACAAATACTATAATGGGCACTGCTCTAAAGAGCTAGCGTCCCTTGTGCCATCTACTAAAATTCATTCTCGTGTTACTCGCCATTCAATTAAGTCTCATCCTTTTTCTGTGACTGTTCCTAAGTGCTTCAAAAACTCTTATTCTTCTAGTTTTTTTCCTCGAACATCAGTTCTTTGGAATAATATAATTTGCAATCTTTTAAGTCATCAGTCAATCGTTATCTTGCTCTACAGATTTAGTCTTTTCTCTTCCAGTAACTTCCAACTCTTATAGTGGTTGCTTGCAGCCTTGTTGAAAGTGAAGATGTTAAAAAAAAAAAAAAAAAAAGTTATAAAAGTTTTAGTAACACCTCACGAAAATAATTAAAAAAAAAAAAACAAGAAGCCGTAAAGCTCGCTAGAAACAGCCGTGATTTATATTCATAAGTTGAATTATGTTTTAAGTTAGATGTTTTTTTTTCGATTGTAAAATTAATCATGCGTATTAAGCACTGGGTCTTTAAAGATGAGTCTGTTTAATAATTTACAATAGCACAACTATAATGCAAAAATTATATCACAAACCATTAACTGAGGAATTAATTAAAAAGGAATATTTCCAAATCGTAAAACTAAATTATTATAAGCTAATACTTCGTAAAAATAACCAAAATAGAATTGAAAACATTTATTTTGAATGTTTATATTTTACATGTTTAAGATTTGATATCTTTAACTTGCAAGCCTGAAATTAAAAATAAATTATATTAAGATAAGACTATTATTATAAACAGAGAAATTAGCCTTATCTACAGAAAATAATACTAAACATTAAATAAAAGGTAGGATAATATACCTGGAGGTAAAGATTGTTTTAGTTTCTCAGCCTTTTCTTTATCTTGAACAGTCAAAGTGTACAAATTGCGACTACATCGAACTTTAAACTTGACTGAGTTATCTTTTTTCTTCATTATCTTCACAGCTATAAACACAAGACCAAGTTTATATTAAACAATTATTTTATATAAATTTAGGATTATATAAATATTTATATAAACCTAGCAAAAACAACTACATTTACATAATTATATACAACTTAAGATATTAAAGCATTGCTAAAGATGATTTTTAATTCAAAACTTAAATAGAATCATAGAGAAAATTACCAACAACAAGAATTTTTTGATTCGAACTTTGCTAAAAAATCAAAAATCATAATTTTCATTTCATATTATTATTCATTATTTTCTGTCAGTTGTTATTTGATTTATCAATACTTTTACCGAAAAATATCTTTTATATATAAGCTGATAACATCAATGATATTTCATTTAATTTGGTGTGGCAATAGTGTTTAATGCATACAAAAATATATAATAATTAACCATATTCTAATAAAGACGATTGTTATTGCTATTTGAAAACAAAAACATCCTTTTGACTTTATATCTTTATCGTTAAAAAGCATTAAAATATTTTAATGAAAATGCAAACCAATAGCACAGTAAAATTTTAAAAAGGAACAATATCAACAAAAAATAAGCTCTAATAATCAATGAATCTATTAGTGCTAATTTTAAAAAAAAAGACTTATATAATTATCATTTAAAATTAACTCATAGGTAACTCAGCGTGTAAAATAACGGCCGGTCAATGACTGTCCAAAATGAGTTCTTGCTGGTCATGGTTGACCAGTTAAAAAATAATCAGAATTTTAAAAAACAAGATTTGAAAAATAATCAGATTATTATTTGGAAAAAGCATGTACTAAACTATCATATAATCATTAAAATTTTGAAAAAGTTTATCAATTTATCAAACTTACTTTAAGAAATAAAATGAAAATCTGCGCGCTTAATTTTAAACTATTAACATTGGCATGTAATTTTAATGTTAGTTATTTGCAAATTTAAAAAAGGAATACTAATTTGTTAATTATCAAATATTAAGTTATTTTTGTATTTATAAAGTTCAGTCATGAAGAACTATTACAAAGATTAAAATAAAAACAAAGAAAATAATAAAAATGTTGACCGTCCAAAAAAACAGTTGACCGTCAATTCCAAGGGTTAGCTGGTACTTTGTTGTACTGTTACAAAATATCACAATAAATTAATTACTTAAAAAGTAAAATAACTTATCATTATTTTTGTGTGTTTTTTTTTTAATTACTAACACGTTTTTATAGATACCTTACTAAATTTAGTTACACCTAAAATAAATATTTTAAAAAAACCTTTTTAAAGTTGCAAGCCAGTTCATTTTCATTCAAAACTGTTTATAAATCTATTTTTCACCCACGAATATAAACTTGCTTATTAATATCATAGATCGCCAAGGTCATATTTTAAAAATCCGGAATAAACTTACCCTTATTTTTATCCTAATTTTAATTTTAACTGAGCCTGTTTAAATTGTAATTTTTATGAGCAATGATTAAAAAAGCTTAAAAAACTAATTTATTACAAAAATTTATACATAAAATTTGTATATATGTAAAACATTTTGGATACCCGAAAAACTAAATGCGAAGGAAATACCAGGAATTCTGGGAAAAACAAAACTATACCTATAATATAATACATGCCAAATTTGGCAGATGTATATTTCAGGCACCCCCACTTAATAAGTACTTAAAAAATCCTGAATAAAATAAATATTAAACAAACTTTTCTAAATATATTTTTTGAAGTCAAATAAAAAAATTAAAGTCATGGGCAAACAATAATATTGTTTATGGCACAAAAATGTTGCCACCAAGAACAATTATTTTCAAATTGTTATTCACTAGTAAGGAAATCAAGTGAGTTTTTGTATCAATATTTTATTGACCACAAATTTTTAATAATAGAGGCCATACTAAAAACAATTTTGCAAATATATAGAAAGTTAGGTATTTGATAAAGTTATGTTATGTTTATCTTACCAAGTATCAAATTACCTTGATTATTAATTTTGACCACATAATTTAATTTTAATAATCATCGAATTACACCATTATTTGATAAACTAAAATTTTCTTAAAATTAATGATATATACTTTATTTGCTATTGCTGATAAGAAAATAGGGTATTATATGTATAATATAACATATTACTTACACTAATTTTCTTAAAGCTTTTAACACAAGGAGTTTACATTAATATGTTCATAATGGCAGTTATTACCATGGCTTAATTTCCAAAAAACACCTTATATGAACGCAAAACACTAGGGCAATGCATTGGATTACATTGTTTTATTTAATAAAGATTTTACTCTAATATAGATTTAATGTGCGTTATAACTTATTTATCACAATACTAAACTATTTATCAGTAAAGATCGAGTAACCTGGGAGAAGAAACTAAATGACTTAAACTGCAACTTTTTGAAGATATTCAACACTTAGGTTTACTTTAAATATAGTCTTTACTTTATATATTTACTATCTTTCTTTATAAATTTATATCTTTATTTACTACTTTATATATTTATATAGATAACTTTATATATTTACTAGAATACTTTATTTCCATTTTTATGATAAAGAACAAAACACTAGCAATATTCTACTTGTTTTAAAAAATTTCAATTAACACCTCAATAATATAATTACTTAAAGATTTAACAGTTTATTAACGATTTAAAAATGTCACATAATAAATTTAAGTACTAATTTACATACATCTCGCATCTTTTCTTCGTGCTGTAAGCAAGAAATCTTTTATTTCTTTGATTTCACGAGGCTAAAGTAAGAAAGTGATAACACCGGTTATTCTGCGACACGGTGTATCTGTAAGGTATCTGTCGCAGATTCCCATAAGAAATATTTAATTATTTATTGCTAATTAACTTTAATAACAACCCGTTAAACTATACAACCAATTCAGTAACAGAATAATGTTGAGATGCTAATAATAAAAAAATTTACACTTACCATTTTAGGTTGCCGTTAATATCTAAATTAATTAAAAACTAATAGAATAACAAATAGCAAAATGATTATAAGTTTTAATAAAAAATTTACAGTTCTTATAAATATCAGTAACTCAGTTATTATTGTTTAATATCAAATAAAAACTTCTTTTGATTAAAAAGATATCGACAGATAAATAACTGTACAAACGAACCTACAGCAGCCGCTATTAGTTTAAAAGGAATACAAGTTAGAGATTAAAGTCGGGTCGAATTCTTTATACGGACCGTGTTGGGACATTTTAATTGTGAATTTAACTAAAATAAATTATTTAAATTAAACAATTGTTTCAAATTAAATTTTAAAATAATACTAAAAAAAAAAACATAAATGTTTTTGCCTATATTATAATATCATTTTTAAATATATATTTTATAATAATTAGTTTACGTTAACTAATAACTAGGCTATTACGTAGAATTACTAATTTACCAAAAATTATCAAACTTTGTATGCATATAATATATGCATACAAAGTTTGATAATTTTTATGCATATATATGTATGCATATATATGATATTTATGCATACATAATATATATATATATATATATAATATATATATATATATATATATATATATATATATATATATATATATATATATGTATATATATATATATATATACATATATATGTATATATATATATATATATATATATATATATATATATATATATTATATATATATATGTATATATATATTATATATGCATATATAACATATATATATATATATATGTATATATATATATATAAATAAATATATATGTATATATATATATTATATATGCATATATAACATATATATATATATATATATATATATATATATAATATATGCATATATAACATATATATATATATATAAGTATATATATATATATATATATATATATATATATATATATATATATATATATATATATATATATATATATATATATATATATATATATATGCATATATAATATATGCATACAAACATAGTCTGGTAATGTTTATATGCATATATATGCATACAAACAAAGTTTAGCAATTTTTGGTAAACTAGTAACTCTACATAATAGTCTAGTTATTAGTTAGTGTAAACTAATTTTAATAAAATATATATTTAAAAATGATTTTATAATTTAGGCCAAAAAATTTATGTGTACTTTTTAATATTATTTTTAATTGAAACTGAAATTATTGTAACCTTGTAAACCTGACCTTGTAAAATATTTATTTGTGACCCACTATATAGAGTGGGTCTCATAAATATTTTACAAGGTCACACAAATATTTTATAATGTGGAGTCACAAAGTTTTTATTAATTAATTTTTTTTTTTTTTTTTTTACACATATTGACACCAATTGAACCTGTGATTTCAAAAAGATACATGTCCAATAATTTATACATTTTGCTTTAAAATTTAAATTGTTTTTGTATAATTTATGCTTTTCTTCATAGTAGATAAAACTCATAAAAACAATATATTTTTTGTTTATTTATACCTATTTTTGATTTCCTTAGCACCAAAGGCATTCTGCAAGGTTGTTATCATTTAAAGGCAAGATAGCTAACATTTAAAATAAAATAGATACCATTTAAAGTTAAAACATTAAGTAAAGACAAAGTTTAACTTTTTAACTATTACTTTAAGTAAAGGGACAAGCATATAAATTCTATGATTAAAAAAAAACATTCCAAGAAAGAAAAGAAAAATATTTAAGGTCAATAAGTTGTGAAAATATGGTTAAGATAAGCAAACAATTACTAAATCAATAATTTTGATAAGAAGTGTTCAAATATGCTAGGCAATCATAAAATTTTGTAGTAAATATAAAACAGTTTGAGATAAAAATGACCTTACCATTAAAAAGTTCATTATAATAGTCTATAGTTTAAATTTTTTTGCTAATTTTAATTCTTAGTTAGAATCATTATGTTTATGAATTATAAATAAATATAGAAATTATAAAAAAAGCTGAATTTATAAAAAAGAATACCCAAATATTTTATTTTTCACATTTAATTAGTAGATAAGTTGCTATTTTTGCTCTTAAATTTGAATTTTACAATAAACATCTTTTTTAAAGCATTTCCAAAATCTATAAAATATGATTATGCTATTTTGTTATTTTGGTAATGAACCAATAAAGTTTATTAAAAAAAAAAATTTCTAAAAATAATAGTTGTCGCAGCAGCATGTCCTTGTGTAAACATCATAAAAGTTTAATGTTATAACACAAAAAAAAAACTTTTTAGGAAGTGATAGACTAATAGATCAATAGTAATTATTTATGACAACATATATGCAATAAAATCTAAAATAGTAATCTTCATTTATTGGATTATTATTTAATCAAGCATTTAGGCAAACCAAAAATATTTGCAGAAAATGTAGACAGAATTTTGGTAAGACAATTAAAACACAATACTTAACAAAGTGCTACGAAATTAAATAGTATTTTCAGCAATAACTTTTATGTTAAGTGCAGCATATGTACTACAAAATGTTGTCTAGATTAGTTTCTAGATTAACTTGTTTGGTACAAATAACCTAGATAGTATAACTGTCATTTTTCTGCCAAAATACCATAAAATTATTAAAGATATTATTGATTATATTAAAGATATATATTAAAAAAAAATATATATTAAAGATATATATATATTAAAAAAATATATATTAAAGATATTATGCTTATTTAGCATAGTGGTGGTAATATAATAATTTTGGGTCTTTTAATAATTGTTTTATTAAATCAAAGCATTGCATAATTTCCATCAAAAAACTTTTAATTTGAAAAAGTTTTGAGTTTTGGACTGATCTTATCAAAAAGCCAGATGAATTGGTGTAATTTGTATGCGTAAAAAATATATATGTAAATTAGTGTGTAAAGTCAACTTTATGGGTGCATATTTATTTTTATTGTCATAAGTCACTGTATAAAGTTTTTATTATTTAAAGCATAGGTTTATTGGTTTCGATTTGTTTACACTTAAATACAGTACTTTTTTTTTTTTTAATCATGCTTTTATCAACAAAAACGTTTTTCTATCAAGTTAACATATTGTTTTATAACATCTAGTTATATTTTTTATTATTGTAAACTTACATGTTAAAGTATGGTAAAAATATATATTAATATGAATAAATTCTAGTTAAACAATATTTAACCATTTTAGCAAAATTTATTTGATAATTATCTGAATTATTAACATTTAAATAACTTTTTTTTTTTTTTAAAAAAGACAAAAAAATATTTAGATGTGCTCACATCAGGATATTTTAATTCATGCTAAAAGTGATCTTTTTAATGCTTTTCAAGAATGTTCTAATAAAATATCAGACAAAAGGTAAATTATTTTGATTTTTTTTTTTTTTATTCCAAATAAGGGGTCTTCTAAATGTCGGTTAATAAGGTGTTAAAAACAGCGAGTACATACTCACAAGTACTAACATACATGGTTTGACTACCTTTTGTTTTCTCCTAAAACTTGATTTCTTTGAAATTTGAAATTTTGTTGTTTTTAATGTTTTAAAAAATTTATGCATTGGGGAAGGGAGGAGGTTTATAATATAATAAGTAATCACCACGTATGCAGAGAAGACCGCTTTAAAAGTATACATATACGTACAATAGAAGAGGAAGATTTTAAATCAGTACTTTTACATACTTTATGGATACCCCTACATTTAACACAAGTTTATTGTTTCATCAAGATAAGAATATGTTTGTTCACTAGGCTAAGTTCTTTCTTCAGGCTTTCTTTTTCTAAGTTCTTTCTGGAATACTCAATCTTATTTGTATTTTTTTATAAAATTTTATCTGGTTAAAAATATTTAATATATTTTTAAACATTTAGATAAAAAATAAATCTATCTGGTTTTCTGCATCAAGATTTTAAAATTTTTAAAATTTTATATATATTTGATCAAAATGAAGTCTTGATCCAATATAATAATAAAGTACATATTAATGAAGTACATGTAACATCTTTTCCAAAAATGTGTTACTTGTACTTCATTAATATGATGTAGACAAATGTAAGATAAAATTGAATGCTGAAATTCTTTTATTAGCAATAAAAACAGCTCAATTTTTTTTTCCAGTGTAGATAATGGTTGTATCAAATGTATTAAATAGCTTATATATGGTCTGTAAAGTCAAAACTGTTCAAAATATCTGATTGCAATTTTATGATTTTCACCAGTCTCAGAAAAAATCTCAGGAGTTTCTAGCATGTTTTATTGATGACTTGTATTGTTGATTTGCATTGTAGACTTCAGGCCCATAGTAACAATAATTATGTTGTGGGGCTGTGCTAGATTAAGGATCCCATAAATTGATTTAAGTACTTTTTTTTTTTTTTTAGTCATTTTTTTAGTCAATTTTTATCGAAATTGTTTATTAGAATAATTATTAGGGGGGGCAATGCCCCTGATGATCTCTGGTTGCTACGGGCCTGGACTTGCAAACTCAAATTGCTGGAATTCCCATACTTAAATTGCTAGAGCTCCCAGCAGTTTTATTGTTGACTAGGAAATTTATTTATTTTAGTTTTTTTTATAAGAAAGCCCCAATCTTAAACTTTGAGTACTTTTTTCAATAAGAAACTTATTTTATTAGAAATCATTGAACATTTTCTAAGGCGTGCATTTTCACCTACATATTGAATAGGTAAATATTATTACCTAAATATTGCATCAACATAACACAAAGTGAAAAAGTTAAAAATATCTACAACAGAAAACAACGGTTTAAATGAGTATTGATTTAGCAATCAAATGGAATCCATCGTGCGTCGATGCGATGGAATTCATTCAATTCTGAAATATGTAATAAACTTAAGAAACTCTTAAGAAACTTTTAGTACTAGAAACTACAATAAAACATTGAAAATAAGAAGCTTTCTAGTGCTAGCCTCTTTGTTTAGATTCTTATTTTCAAAAATACATTTTGCTTCAGTACATATTATATAAATACAATATAATATAGTATATAGTATGTGCTGAATATATATATATATATATATATATATATATATATATATATATATATATGTATATATATATATATATATATATATATATATATATATATATATATATATATATATATATATATATATATATATATATATATATATTTCTTCCAGCAGCCGTATTCACAAGCTTAACAGAACTTTTGACTTTCATTCCAATATTTGTAAGTAAAGAAATTAAGAAAACATTTAAATTTGTTTAAATTAAAGGTT